AGGAGAAACATCCTTTTTTTTCCGGACAGTGTCATCGATAGCCATAGATAATGTAGAAATGCTTTCTTTTGAAACCTTAACTACAATGGCAAAGCCTATGGGATAGTTTTCATATTTTTGAATTCCATAGAAGGAATTCTTACATCCGGAAAAGCAATCGGCCAGGTTCCTACTTACTGCTAGGTAAACCGAGGCATGTGGAAACTTGCCCAAGGTTTCGCCCTGCCCGGGAATCAAACCCAGGTCTCTCGCTTGCGAGGCAAGTGCTCTAACCCCTGAGCTACAGGAGTAAGGTGCTCTCAATAGAGAAAAATGGGTCAAATATTGGCAAAGCTTTACCCATGTCTTGTTGGCATTGCCAATTAATGAGAAGTCTGAACTTTGGTCCCTCATTTCATCTGAAGGTGAAACTTGGTAGGAAGGTTATTAAGTGTGGAGAGCCTGGAAAAGAATTGACTGGCGCTCAAATTTGTGTTCTCTTTAATGGGAGGCGGTTGCTCTATCGCAAGCGTATCGATTAATCTACCTCAAAGAAGTCCAACAGGTGAAACTGATAGGGGAATAATTCCGACAAGGAGAGAAGTTCAGAAACAAATGAACTTTGGTCCGAATCAAAGTTTGAAGACCAAAGGGAGACGAATGGCACAAATCCTCGCCCACGAAACCAACAGAGGAGTGTACTGAAAAATATTGACATGTTGATCTCAATCTCAAGGCGCCTTCATCCATCCTGGGTAACAATAAATACAGCTGGAGCAAAGGACACAATAAGCTAAACAAGTAGAGAAGGTTAACCACTCCCTTTCGGAAAGGATAAGGTGAAGGAGGAAAATCAAAGCACCTACATTGTGACCTTAACATTTTCATTAACATTTTGCCGGATTGACAGGTCGCTATCCAGGGGCAATAATTCCCCCCTCCCAACCCATTGCCCCCTTCCCCACCCCCCGAAAAAAATATATGGTTACTCAATCCACCACTGTTTGCGGGGCACTGCTGTGTTTCACCCACAGAATACACAGGTCGATCCACTTTCCAATGTATTCAACGATGCGATAAGGAGCTATGTCGAATGCAAGGAATATTATTATTATTATTGCTAAACTATTAATTTCTTCTTTCTTTTCCTCTCAGAGCTTCCACAATTAGCATTTGGGGTCAACAGCACCGGATGATGTTGAACAGACCCAGGGACTGTATAAACCTTTCATTTTGATTTGAAATTTTAGAAAAGGAAAGAGAACACTCACACTTACTGCTCATCGGTGCCTTTGCAGGTGAAGCACGGTCAGGTGTAGTGACTGTTCTTGGAAGGTACGTGTCATCTCTGAAATCGTTTTGCTAACCTAAGCTGGTAAATAACTTACTAAACCGTCGTCTGATGGAGCGATCGAGAATAAGAAGTGAAAAAAGAGTGAAAAGGTTGTTTTCACAGCAGGGGCAGAGCAAAAAAAAACCACAGAAGACCTTACCTGGTTTAACTTGTCAGATATTGGTCAGAACATACCTAGAATGCTTTGCGCAGTTGTGTTGACAATCTAAGGAGAGGTATTATTGGCCTGGAGGCAGGACAGCCACTGAGTTAATTACTGTAATTTAAGCAAGTTAGGCTTGTTCTCTTTGGAAATGGCAAGACCTCCAGGCGAGTTTACAGATGTCTTTCAGGATTAAAAAAAAAGTGATCCAATCCAATCGTTCCAGGTGGCTTGCACTGCGATTAATCCTTGTCTAGGAACTTTTAGATTGACATTCATCAATTGTTCAGGTCAAACAATGTTCCCAATGCAGGAAACAGCTCAACACACACGCACACACACACTCCTTGTTATTATTCTGTAATCAGAATAGTCCTTTAATTCCAATAAATATGCTTGTCATATCAACAGTCGTTTACAGATCCACTTATGGCTATAAACACAGACACGCACGCGGACACACAAGTCTTTCAGATTGGACAATAGTGCAATGTCGACACCATCAATATTGCAGCTAGATGGATCTGTTTGTGGTCACAATATTGTTTTGAAAGGTCTAGGTGGAACGGCCTTCTGTTTAACCTGGGCTAAAAGATGGCGATATATTTCTGATTGACCCAGGACGCAAACAATTCCGAATTTTCTGTTTGTTTGTATAAACCGCTTATCTCTCTTGATGAGGCGGATTTCTCAAGTCTAAAGAATTGTCTTTGCCCATTTATCGCATTGTGTGACCGAAAGCTAAGCAAGGATGGACTGAACAAAGTTTTTTTTTTTGAATGTATCCACTGTAAGTATCATGGCTCATTCACTTCACGGCTGGTTGTGGAACGCTCCTGTGTGAAAATCGGCTACCGCCAACACAGTCATTCCATTTTACAGTATATCCCGTGGAGTGCTTTGGGACGTCCTCCTGACTTGAAAGGCGCTGCACTAAATGCAAGGATTATTATTGATTATTATAATTCCCTGAAGTCTCTTTTTCTCATTTTGCATCGCCTTAGATTGTCGCCGACAGCTATTTTTCCGGCTAACATCCCATTTTCCTGTTCAGAGTCTCATCCGCATCAGAAACGTATTCGATTTCAAGGTCAGAAATTGACCCAGTGGATAATAAGGAGAATAAAACATTGAATAAAACAAAGGAATTGGAGCTAGAGCTGGGAATCATAAGTCTATCAAATCCAAATGGGAAGCAGGTCCAGACCTTAATGAGAAACAGAGGAGGGAGCGAGATAGAAATGGCGTTATAACACCAATTTAAGACAGGCACACCTCTATTTATTTATGTGTGCAATATATATAGATGCATTACAATGGGTTTAGCGTATTCTTTATATTGGTTTGGGTTTGGAAAGCAGCCATCAGTCACTAAATTTAGACTTGGAACATATTTTTTTCGTCAACTCACAGTTTTCTAAACACCTCCGTCAGGGGTTGATAAGTATTTTAATTTCCCTGAACTTTTATAACGTTTGCGGGTTGGAGGAGGAGGGGATGGAGGACAGAAAATAAATTGACAAATAGAACCAGGGAGCGTTACAGACAGATACAGGTTATTCGACCCCAACCACGCACATCTGTGCTGATGTTTTTCTTCACAAGAGCTGTCTGGGTCATCCCACTCTCCTGCTCTCTCTCCCCTCTACCTCGGACCCTTTAGAGCGAAAAGCAGAGTGCCGAAAAGAGCGATGCATTTCAGCATTTAACATAGACAAAGACAACAGGTGTCTCTAAATGTGTGTTGTGCATTAGAATGTCCAATCCTCCCTATACAGCAACAACAATTTGCATTCATACAGAGCCCTTCACGTTGGGTGATATCTCGGAGCGCTTTACAGGGATGGGGTTGGACACTGAGCGAGGGAGGAAGGGGAGGGGTAGATGGTCAACAAGTGCAGACCTCACTACTAAGGTCCCTGAGGGGTGAGGAGAAGAGTAGCTTCGGGGGAAAACCTGTTGAGCCATGAGTCTGACCAAGGAGGAACCTTTCTTGGCCAAACCGTACAGCATGGAAGGAGGCCATTTGGGCCATCGTGCCTGTGCCAGTTCTTTGAAAGAGGCTACCCAACTCATCCCATTCCCCACCTCTTACCTCATCAGCTAACCAGCCTCCAGTGAATAACTGGCACGGGAGTAGCATGGAACCAGGCACGTTTTGTGGGACGGCTAACCCGTCCTCCTGGCTTGTCTCCCTCGCGCCAGAACTCAGCTAATTTACTACCGGGATTTTCTTATATTTTGTCCAGGGTCCAAATTTCATCCAGCTACCGCATTTTACAACGCGAGAGCTCTGGGAATCAGTGCTGACATGCGCCCATCAGATTACAGCGCGTCAATAGGGAGGCTGGCAGGTTTACACACCCACAGGCAAGCTTGGCGATTGGGATGTCTTCTAGCTATTCGGTGGCCGAGTGCACGGGTGAGCGGGTGAGCGGGCGGCCAGGTTATTGGTTGCCGCTGGTCAGGAAGCCCCAGTCGGTGAATTGGACTCCGTTGGATTTCCCTGAAGGCTACCGTGTTTCTTCTCAACAGCAGAACTCCGTGACGCTATCCTATCAAGCAAGTTTCCTTGCTCCGCACAAGCCTCTGCTTACCTAGCAGTAAGTAGCAACCCAGTTGTTAGTTGATTGCTTAGCGGATCGCTTTAATAATAATAATAATAATAATCCCTCCCACCTGCCCCCCCAAAAATTGTGGTTTCTCAATCCGTGACTGTGCGCAATTGGCTCCCACATTTTGACCACAAAGTATGCAGTTTACAATACATTCTGTGAAGCACTTTGAGACATCTTGAAGACATGATAAGGCGCTGTATCAAATGCAAGGATTGTTATTATTATTATTGTTATTTATCCTGTGTGAACCACACACAGTATAAAAGCAAATAGTTATTGTTGCAAGTGAAAAGGCAGGATTTCAATCTGCTAAAGTACGTGTGTATTCTAAGATGCCTTTTCTTTTGCTTCCTTTAACTTGACCTCTTTTTCGATAGAAAAGAATATATATTATAGAGCAAAGCTCACCGGCGTCCAGTGAATAAATGACTGGCGCAGGAGTAGAAGAACCAGGATAATTGATTTGTTTATCCGAGCCAGAATTGTGATACTCTTAAATGACTGGTGATAATAAAGGAATGGAATGCATTTAGAAATACCGCAATTTCTTTTGGACCCCATAATCTTCAAAGATCCAGCAAAGTAATTTATAAAATTGCAACCTTTCCGCTGCTGGTAAGGTGCAGTTTGTGAAATCAAAAGCTTTCATCAAGTCCCGTTCCTACAAAAGGAACTTAAATACAAGGTCAAGGAAGGTAAGGTCAAGAGTAATTACTCATCCCGGCGATTGTTTTGGCTTTGCACCCCTTTTTGCCAGTGCAGCTCAACGCATAATCATCATTTAAATAAAATTAGCAAATCATTTTCAAATCAGAGTCTAAGCAACACTGTGTGTCATTGCACCTGATGAGTCATCACTCTATTTAAGCAGTCACTTCCAGCCTATTCGGCTCATTACACTCAGAGGTAATACACGCAGGTTTGTAACACCTGATAGAGCTGAGTAACCCAGCACTGTGCCCTCCGTGCGTTGAAGGTAATAGATCCCTTGTTCTTTTTTTGGGTGGGTGGGTGGGTGGTGGTGGTGAAATTATCCGTATGTATAGCTCTGTCACTAATTTGCAAAAAGAAAATCAATCCGTCTCTTTTTGTTAAAGTACTTAACTGTTCTTGGAAAGATTGACATCGGCTGTCGGGGAAGGAAAACGACAGTTTGAAGAAATCAGAACTCTCGTTCGATTCCTAGGTCGAATTAGTTTCACCTACACGTGTGGATTTTAGGCTTGTGATCTTCCCGATTGAGCGCAAGTTGTGTTGATAGTTTTTTATTTACTGTTTTACGCTGAATGGATCAGTTGTTTCTGGAAACTTTAGGAGTATATGTTTTGTATGTTTGTTTTCTCTAATACAATAGTTAACCGTTTGGAAGTCTTGGTTGAAACTGTTTGTTTTTCACTCCTTTGGCTAACCCCTTCCCTTTCACCCAAGAATGTTCTTTCAAGAATGGTATTTCTCTCTGTAAAGTCTGTAGTTTGCTAAACGTGTGGTTTCCATTGAGTATTTAATCTCACAGCAGTGCCTGATTCCTGCTGTAAGGAGGGGCAGGGAAGAAAGGGGAGTTACCCAGTCAAGGCAAGCCAATTTCTCGTAGGAGGAAGAGAAAATGAGCACCCATGATGTCTCAGAGCCAACGTAGGATGATACAACAGCAGTAATTTTAGGCTGGGACACTTCACCTGAACTTGCTCTTACTTCCAGAAATTTTTGCTCGAGGAGTTAAGTGAGTCGTTGTGGTTTCTGGTCAGCCTGGTGTCTGACACATGCAGAAACCCATCACCCGCGCTTACGCATATCCAAACCAGACCAAGAATTACCATGTTACTAATTGGGACCGTGGGCCAATTTCATCCAGTCCCGGTTTTTCAGACTGGATTTGAGAGTTTTCCAAATTCTCGCCGTGAGCTTAAATTTCAAGACCTTAAGGCCGAGACTGTGAAGGATTTCGGATCTCTGGTGGCTGCCTCACAGCACGGGAACACTGCTGACCCTTTAACATTGGATTCCGCAACCTTGTGACCCCGTTCGGGAAGCTTCCCCCGTGTTTGGGTCGGGTTGTTCGTTTACTAGCTATAACCACGGGAATACTGGCTCGCTTCCTGCTCCTCGCGCATTTCAGACGAGGGCTTTGGCTCGTAGAGTCAACAGGGGTCGAGTGGGAAGCGGTGACGAGTCCAAGGTAGAGAAGCCGGCCTGTCATTGCCTGTAGTGGCTTGGCATCAGCCTGCTGGTGGATGTCGGCATTTGTTGTGCCTTAATCCTTGCATTCGATATATACAGCGCCTTATCACGTCGTTGGGACGTCTCAAAGCGCTTCACAGGATACACTGTAAAGTGAATTGACTGTGTATTTTGTGGGCGAAACGTGGCAGCCGGTCGCACACAGCCAGTTGTCTTACTCAGACAAAGCGACTTGGGACTTACTCCCGACGTGAAAGGCGCTATACACATGTGATATGTTGTTGTTGTCGTTAAAGACAGATCGATTGACTCCTTTAAATGGGCTGGAGGGATAGATATCTGGCTCCGATCAGGACTGAGGCGGAGACACCAGGGTCCAATGTCTAGCTGGGAGGCCACCGGAAAATTCCTCACGGTCTCGGCCTTAAGATCTTGCATCTTGAAATTTAAGGTCACACCGAATATTTGGAAAATTTTCGAACTTTCTCCAATTTTCTTGATGTGTGAAACTGTGGAAAATGAAATGTTTTCCACAATCCTGCACGATTTTATCACATAGAGTGATACAGACCGCTTGGCCCAACTAGTCCGTGCCGGTGCTATAGTATATACTGTAGTTTAAGTACAGTTTGGGACTTGGCAAGTAAACTCGACTGCCAGGATGCTGGAAGGCAAACTGGATGGACCTCGGTCTTCTTTCGTCCAGCAATTCTTGTGTTCTTACATACGTATAGTCGACATGAATCCCTTCTCCCTCACATATCTTGCACACAGGAGTGACCCACAAACAGTGGTGGGTTGAGTGACCAAATTATTATTATGATGATTATTATTATTTTGAGGGTATTATTACCCACAGAAAAATCCGCCATTCGGATTACTCGGAGGGAAAAGGTTCTCCTCCGAGGATTTCAGTCCTTGAAGGAGAGAACTTCCCTTCTCCTCTTGTTTTGCCGGTGTTTTGCTAAGATCAGCTGCTTCTCTTTTCCCTCAGTTACTCTAAACCCATTCCATTGTACAACCATCGTTCACAATACAGATGTTCTCAAAGTCATTCTGTTCGCCTGGAGAATAAAGCTGACAATGCAATCTTCTCAAATATTTCAGGAGAATTATATGATAACAGTCATATATTATCATCATTAATAGCTCGTGACCCGGAGCACTTTGAACGAATGATTAACATCCCAATTGACTAAAGACAGATTGATTGATTGATTGATTGATTGATTCCTTTAAAAGGGCTGGAGGGTTTATCTAGTTACGATCAGACCAGGATTAAGAGGTTGACACCTGAGTCCAAAGTGTATTCGCATTCGCGAATTGGACATCGATCGCGTTGGAATCTTTTTTCCAGGAAAGCAATCCGCCAATTGATTAACGACCTGGTTTCTACTTGCTGCTAGCTAAACAACAACAACAACAACAACAACTTGGATTTATGTAGAGCCCTCCACCCTGGACGGCGTCTCAGAGCGCTTCACAGTAACGGATCCCGGGACCGAGTCGGGGGGAGGGGGAGGAAGGTGACCAAAGGCGCAGTCGAAAAGAAAGGTCTTCAGCAGAGACCTGAAAATAGGAAGGGAGGGAGCGAGACGAAGGGAGTGAGGAAGGAAGTTCCAGAACCTCGGGAACTCAAACAGAGCTGAGATCACTGCAGGAATCGCGATCCCAAACAGACTGTTTCGGGAACTTTCCTTTTCCACTTTCCAACCTTTTCGGGGGGAGGTCAAACTTTTATGCCTTCTTCGCAGCTTAAGAAATCGCCCTACCCTGGGTGGAGGGCACGATATAAGTGCAAGTTGTTGCACTTTGTTGCTGTATATTCTGTGAAGTGCTTTGAGACGTCTCTATGACTTAATAAGGCTCTATATCAAATGTAATTATTATTATTATTATTATTACTATAACCCCACCCGCCCCCACCCCTCTCGCATCCCTTTAATTGCTTCTGGAGAAAACTCCAACACACTGAAAATCATTAATAAGTGGTTAAGGCCGTGGCATAATTAGATATTCCTGTGTGCGGTTTCTGATTTGCTGAAACATCAATACCTGGGTTTATCAAATACAACAGCAGATAGAACCAGCCCCAGTAAAGGAGGGACTGTGTTTCAGCGCAGACAGAATTCCTCCTCCAGTTCAGGTGGGACTTATGGAAGTATTACTAACATTACACTGAGCTGGAGAATCAGGTAGGTAGGTTCTTCTCTGCAGCTTTCTCACCTGCCCTTTTATTTTCCCCCTTTTCTTCCCATAACATTATCAAATGCAAGCATTATTATTAGGACTTGTTAAGAAGTTTTGGTTCCATCCTGCAAAGACCCGGTGACCGCCAAGTGCTGTAAGAGCGCACGCTTTCACAGCACCTCACTCCATCACGGTCTCTTGTGCAAACATCTCTCCTGCTCACTTTTCTTTCCTTCTCTAAACGCCGGGGGTTAAACTGTTCAGAGTTCTGAATAGTCTGCAGCTGGTGGAGGAAAGAGTTGGGAAGTCCAGCGAGCAGGGAGGTAGCGTAGTCAAGCCTGGATGTAATGAAAGTGTGGATGAGGGGAAGGCAGAACAGGTCGTGGTACGGATGTGGGGTTTAAAAGATAGTTGAGGGTCAAACAGAACGCCAAGTTTCCGTACTAGCTCGGTGAGGTGGAGAGTACATCTGTGTATAGTGATGCTGTCAGCGCTTGTGGTGAGGAGGCACCGACGGGAGCCAAACAGGAAAGCCTCGGTCTTGTCGACGTTCAACTGGAGAAAGCTAACTCTCATTGATGTCTGACAGACAATGCTTCAGGATAGCACGGGTTCTGGAGTTGAAGGTAGAGGCAGAGAGATAGAGTTGGGTGTCATCCGCGTATGTGTGGAAGTTAACTCCCTGATATCCCCGAGCGGGAGCAAGTAAATATTAAAGAGGAGGGGATAAGGGCAGAGCCCTGAGGAACGCCACACATGACGGTACGAGGCTGGAGGAGATGCCATTAGTGTATACAAAGTGGAGATAAAGGGAAAGGTAAGAGTGAAATATATCAGGCAAAGACAGATCAGTGAAGGTGGAGCTGGGAGGAAAGGCAGTGGAGAAGAATTGAATGGAGTCCTGTAACTCAGTGGTTAGAGCACTCGCCTTGCAAGCGAGAGACCTGGGCTCAGTTCCAGGCAGAGGGCGAAACCTTGGGCAAGTTTCTTTACTCCACACGCCTAATAATAATCCCTCCAAAACAAAACAATAATAAATTGGTCATTTTCAATCCACGACTGTCTGTGGGACACACTGCTGTGCGCAATTGGCTCCCGCGCTTCGCCCACAAATATACGTCAATTCACTTTACAACATATTCAGTGAAGCGCTTTGAGACTTCGAGAAGATGTGAAAAGCACTATATCAAATGCAAGGATTATTATTATATTATTATTATAATAGTCGATAGTGTCGAAGGTGGCAGAGAGATCGAGGAGACAGAGAGAGCCCTGGTTACAGGTGGACAGAGTGTCATTTGTAACTTTGACCAGGGGTAGCACAGAAGGCCAGTCAGTCTGAGCAAAGACTGTGGGTAGCACAGAAACCAGATTGGAGAGGTTCACACAGGGAGTGGCGGGAGTGGAAGGAGCGAAGCTGGGAAGCAGCGACTCATTCCAGGACCTTGGAGAGAAAAGAAAGGTTGGAGATGGGGCGATCATTTGAGAACAACGACGGGTCAAGGAAAGGTTGTTTGAGGGTGGGGGTGATGGCGTCTGTTTTTAAGGGAGTGCATACAGTGCCAGTGGATAGACAGAGGTTGACAATGTCTGTTGGTTGGAGAGCAA